TGCTCTTAGGTCCTATGTTTCCTGCTTCAGCATCTCATCCGTTACTAATCCATGTTTTATGTCTATCATTCAGAAATCCTGCTCTTAGGACGATAACAACATTGGCATAAAAGTTGTTACTCTTGCACTTTCAGAAGTCTTACTTCAATAAGTCTGCAATTCTTGAGTGTATTTAAAAATCATGACTTAGGGATTCTGTTTTTTTTTTACAATCCTGCCATTTGCATGTGTATATTAGATATCATGTTCTAGGATCCTCTTTGCATTATGACGCCTAGTTAATTACTGATTCATGAAAAGGTAATAAAATGATCTCACACTGTGATGTTTTCTGAATAAAATAGGTAATAATCTCCGCATTCGTATCAACTAGAACATCATGCTCTTAGGTAAAAACCACCTTCAAACTGTTTTAATAATTCTAAATAATTGCTGCATATTACGCTTAGGCAAGCCTTAGGTAATAACTTAAATAAAACCAGAACTGCCTTTATTTAACTGTCAGCATGTTAAAATCAGTAGGCAAGCCTGATTCGGACTTCTTTTCTGAGTCATGTAATAAATCTAATTTTGCTGAAATCACTTAGATACCATGCTTTAGAATTCTGAATTTAGACCTTATCTGTGTATGAGTCATGCTGTCTATGTGCATTACATGTGGAGGTATACTTGAGCCTTTAGTTTGTCTTCCATGCACCCCTTAATTGAAGTCCTACTTGTCATTGTATGTCGCCTTAGTATGTTGCCTTTAAACCTGAGGGTCTGCCTAGAACCTCCTTCTTATAGGATAGGAGTCCCAAATTTCTTCGGGACTAATAGGAAGGGACGGGTAACAGCATGCAATAGGGGTCGAGACCAACCCTCGCTTTGATTACCTTCACGGGGCGGGAAAGGGTAGATATAGATATGATGACCGGTGCGTTAATACCACGTGTAGCCTCTCGTTGAGGAGTGTCATATTGGGTATTGCATTGATGTGATCCATATTACAAACAAACCTAGGACACCCCTATTTACATTCATAAATGTGCTTAGTTTGTAATTCTTTTCAAAATTTTGCTTCTCATTAATTGCTTTTTCAAACATCTGTGTTCTTAAACTTAAATCCCCTACTATTTGAGCCATACTTGTTTATCTGCTACTTGTACAAATCCACAAAAACTGTTTGGCCGGGAACCACACTAGTGGATCCTGAAGGGTGCCAAACACCTTCCCCTTAGGATAATTTCAAGCCCTTACCCTATCTCTAGTTACCAAACGTAGTTACGAATGAACCCTATAGGTGCCCTAACACACTTTAAAATTGTTAGGTGGTGACTCTTCAAAACCGCAAACCCCCTTTCCCAAAAGGAAAGAGTTGTCCCATAACAAAATGTCATGAACCCGATTCCTCGGAAGGAAAAAGGCGACGCGACACTAATGCCCAAGCCGAGTTGAAGCGGGCCCTCGATCGTGAAAAGAGGATCAAGGAATATGTTCATTGTAGATCCCGAAGTGAGGTACTCGAAGAGATTGGCGCCAGGGGCTTCGTTCTCTCGGAGGAGTTGGCTCGAGCGAGGGTAGAGGAACGTGATGCTCGGTCACTTTTTGCTGATGTCACGGAGAGTAAAACTAGGGATGGTAGGACATAGCCTTCTAGAGCGGAGCGTAGACTTCACCATTTTGTATTTGATATTCACAGAGCATGTTTGTAAATGGAGAGCACACCTTTTGCGCTTGTAAAAAAGAAAACTTGAAGCTTTATCTCCTTTGTACCTCTTTTCGCATTGCTTTTGACCAGGCGGGCTGGTTTTAGAGTTTTGCGGGAACTCTTAGATTTGTAGTACGGCTCCGGAGCTCATCAGGTAGGACTAGAGGCTTTTGTACGCCCGGTAGACGTGGTTTTTAGTGCAAGCTGGCGATATAGCTCTCCTGCTTTGCATAGCTATTTCGGGCTGAGTCTCCGAGTCAGGCATTGATCCGAGCTTACCTGGCCTTCAATCTCCTGTGCCTACACAGGCGGACGATAACAGCTCTTGCGCCTTGCCCTTGGGCATGTGCATTTTAACTATTTTGGGTTCAGTCTCCGAGTCATGTTGCGACTCGATCTTAATTGACCCTCAAGTTTTTTGTGCCTTCATGGGCGGATAAAAAATGGCTTTTGTGCCTAGCCCTTAGGCATTTGCATTTTAACTATTTTGGGTTTAGTCTCTAAGACGTGTTGTGACTTGAGCTTTAATTGACCCTCAAGTTTTTGTGCCTGCATGGGCGAATGAAAATGGCTTTCATATGCCTTGGGTCAAAGCAACCTTTTAGGTATGCGGCCCTGAGGCTCGTGAAGCTGGCGATAGTGGCTCTTACGCTGTACCCTTAAGCATGTATAGTTAACTATTTTGGATCCGGTCTCCGAATCAGGTTACGACTCGAGCTCATTTTAATCCTCAAGTTTTCAATTTTCTTTAGCTGGTGGCACTGGCTCTTACGCTTTTGGTCATTGAAACCTTTTAGTGTGCGGCTTTGAGGCTCGTTTGGCTGGCGACAATAGCTCTTACGCTTTTGCCCTTGGGTATATTGTAGTCTTTGTTTTCCTCTCGTTAAGGTCTTTATGAAATAATTTTGCCTGACTCATCGTCGGTTCGGGAAGAATCTCGATTTCAAGTTGTTAGTGGCGATGTTTGAGCACCTCGAAAGGTTTAGCTCGTAGGCTGAGTAGCTCGAAGCCTTGTGATTTGGAGCTGACATGGTTGAAGCTCGTTTGCCTATTGAGGTATTCTGTTTTAACCGGTTCTTTTCGAAGTAGATTCGAAGTAATGTCCAGCGATTTTGTTAGCGACGGTCGGGTGTCCCTGAGTCCATTAATTTGGCTGGTGCAGTCGTTTTGACCGTAGTCATTGTAGACATGTGATTTTTGACCCTCCCCAAGATTTTACATATTTTTGTATTTAAATATTTAGTTTAGGTCTAATATAGTTATTTTAACTAGTTTTGACCCTTTTACTTTATTTTATCACAAAATGAAAAATTACAAAAAATATTTCTTCTTTTTAGTTAGTTTTAGTTTATATACCATTTGTAAAACTAAAAAAAATACAAAAATAGTACCTTATTTTTATTTTAATATGATATCTGAAAATACCAAAAAAATAATTTTGTCTTATTATAATAGTTATTTTCTTTAAGTAAGATTAATTAGTAAATAAAATAGTATTTTAGTCTTGTTCACAAAGAAAGAATAAAATTTAGGCTCAAACAACCCATTTCAAGCTTAATTTTCGGACCTGACCCATAATTACTAGGCCCATACTAATTTAACCTAAAAAAAAACCTACAAAAGCGAACAAGGACTAGACAATTGGGGGATCAGCGGAAAAAGACAAATTACAGACCAAAGGCTAAAGAGCTGACAACTGCAACTCTCAAAAGAAGAGACCCCCCTGTGATCGTCTTCTTCGAAACCCCATCAGATGTGTCTTCTTCAACACAAAAAATGGAGAGCAATTAAAAACAACGGAGCCGTTACCTAGGCTTCATCTTCTTCATGGAGAACACAAAAAAAGCTTAGGACTTCTACACCCAAACCCGACAGCCACCCCTGATGCCGGCGACCCCTCACGCCGAACTCCATCTCCAGCCACCTTCACAGAACCAACCCACCGAAAAACACCATCGCCGCCCGTCTCCACCAGCTGCTATAACAGCAGCGACGAACACACTAGACACACGACCACCACACCCAGAACACCCTAAAAGCCCGCTGCTGCTCCATCCTCATTCATGCCAAGAACCCGACGTCCACACTCACTCACACACACAGAAACGAGGAGGAGTGGAAAACGAGAGGAGCAAAAAATTCGAGGTTCCGGTCGAAAATTCTGTTCTTAGGCTTTGTTGTTCTTTCTCGTTGGATTATAGGATCAAGGACTGTGTATTTGTGATTTCTTTCCACTGTTACATTGAAGAACTCTTTTAACGGAGCTTGTGCTTTCCAAGTTTTTGGTTCGAATTATCGCTGTCTACCAAGTGCCTTGAAGTTCAGATTTCCGTCGTTTGTTTTGTCACTGAATTTCGTGGCTTGCTTTTCGTGCTTCAGTAGTTGTGTTTCATTTTTCTTTCGCACATCAATTGATTCAAATTTCATCTTCAGATTTGGTTATTTATGTCTCAGCTTGAGTTTTTACAAATTAAAGTTGCTGGTTCGAGCTATGCCGTTAAGTTTGTGTTGGAATTCTGAATCGGAGTGTGCTTGGGTTCGTCGGTTCATGGTAGTTCTACTTCGGGTTCAAGCATTACTTTTAGCTCATATCTAATCAACGTCGAAAAGGTCCTCGTTCTCGTTGAGGTTCAACTCTTCAATCCTCTACTTATTTCATTGTAGCTGAATGTTAATCGCTTGTTTGGTGATTTGGTTCGGTGATTTGTTTGGTTATTATTTCCGGTTTTGAGTTTGTTCATGTAGTTATCTAATCGCATGCTATTCGAATTGGTTATAGCTGAACATAATTTTGTCACAATATAGAAATTGGGTTGCTATTCTTCAACTGAACTACGTCAAATTAGATTAAAGGGGCTCTGGTGAGCATTTCATGTGACCCTGCCATAATTTTGTATAATAATAATAAAAATAAACATGTGCATTTCATGTGACCCTGCCATAATTTTGTATAATAATAATAAAAATAAACATGTTATAAATCCGGATGTACATTTCATGTGACCCGACTTTAATTTCCAATAATATTTAATAATTAAACATGTCGTGAACCGTGAGCGCATTTCATGTAGCATGGTTTACGATGTGTTTTCAAAAATAAGCAAGTGTATGACGATCATGAATTTTCCTAAAAACATTAAAAGAAGATAAAAAATTTAAAAATGCACGTAGGTTTTAAAATGTGTAATTAATCAGATAATTAGGCCAATAATAATAGTTGAGCAACCGTGCTAGAACCACGGAACCCGGGAATGCCTAACACCTTCTCTCGGGTTAACAGAATTCCTTACCCAGATTTTTGTGTTCGCAGACCATAAATAAGAGTCAACTTCCTCGATTCGGGATTTAAACCGGTGACTTGAGACACCATAAATCACTACAAGAAAAAGCCTTATTTATGACCAACTTTTAGGGACGAGTTAATAATCTCGTCAGCAAAAATATATTTATTGGGACGAGATAATATTGCGGTCCTTAATACTATATTTTATTACGAAGGTAGTAAATCCGGTCCCTAAAGAAAGTAGTGACTGGTCCCAAATTATAATTGAGGGACATTGAGCGTGACACTGTACCGCCAAATCCAATACCAAAATATTAAAAAAATATTATTTTATGAAAAATCAAGCGCCAAAACTAATATATTGAAATAAAAAATTTTAAAAAGTCAAGAAACTCTCTGTATTCTAAAACACAAGTCGCGAACATAAGCTCTGCCCTAGTTTCTGCGCGCCAAGCTCTGCCCAGTTTCCGCCAAGCTCTGCCTGTCGCCTTTACTGTGTTTTCTCAAAATACAAGTTGTGAATCTGGTGGTGTGTGAATTTGCCCAAGTTTCCATCTCGCTCGTTGAGAATCCGTGAAACTCTCTGTATTCTGATACACAAGTCGCGCCATAAGCTCAGCCCTAGTTTCCGCCAAGCTCTGCCCGTCGCTTTTACTGTGTTTTCTCAAAACACAAGTTGTGAATCTGGTGGTGTGTGAATTTGCCCAAGTTTCCATCTCGCTCGTTGAGAATCCGTGAAACTCTCTGTATTCTGATACACAAGTCGCGCCATAAGCTCAGCCCTAGTTTCCGCCAAGCTCTGCCCGTCGCTTTTACTGTGTTTTCTCAAAACACAAGTTGTGAATCTGGTGGTGTGTGAATTTGCCCAAGTTTCCATCTCGCTCGTTGAGAATCCGTGAAACTCTCTGTATTCTGATACACAAGTCGCGCCATAAGCTCAGCCCTAGTTTCCGCCAAGCTCTGCCCGTCGCTTTTACTGTGTTTTCTCAAAACACAAGTTGTGAATCTGGTGGTGTGTGAATTTGCCCAAGTTTCCATCTCGCTCGTTGAGAATCCGTGAAACTCTCTGTATTCTGATACACAAGTCGCGCCATAAGCTCAGCCCTAGTTTCCGCCAAGCTCTGCCCGTCGCTTTTACTGTGTTTTCTCAAAACACAAGTTGTGAATCTGGTGGTGTGTGAATTTGCCCAAGTTTCCATCTTGCTCGTTGAGAATCCGTGGTATGCCCCTTCTTTCAAGTTGCTCTTTTCGCTGATTGCTTCGCTTATTCGAGTTCTTCGATCTTCTTTTTCTTCTCCAACATAAAAAATTGGGTAAGGTTTCATATTTTGGTATTTTTTTTCTTTTACAAAATCAGTGAAAAGATTATTGGGTTGGGATTCCTAGTTTGATAATTTAATTTTCTGAAGTTTATATAAAATTGTGATTCGTTATCCTCAGCGGCAGATTTTAATTGCCTTCTTTTGCTTCGTTGATGTGTGTTTCTGCCTTCGCCATGGGTTAACTAATCCCTGTAACTAGCAGTCTTGTTTGTGTGCTATAGAAGAGTGCCGAAAGCACCTTCTTGAATTGCTAATTGTGTTTTGTGAAAAGCTGGTGCATAAGTTGAGATGGAAAGCTCAAACAAGGAACTCTTATTAATCGCAATGAATGAGATGAAAGCCTGGTACATAAGTTGAACATTAGGCGTTTAGTTATATAGGTGGCTTGTAGAAAAATATTGTGTAAAACATCTTTGTTCATTACTTGGATTGAGTGGCAATTTCAAATTACTGCAATTTTGGTGTTCTGGACTAGTGGATTCCATACGCATTTGTTGTGATCAAATGGCTATTAGATATCCGACTCCTATGTTTTTTTTTCGAGTTTGGTATTTTGTTTGCTTGGACAGTTACAATCCTAGTTGTATATCTAAATGTTTTATGTTGCACTTTTGTTTGTTTGGATGTGTTCTAATTTGCTATGACATTGCTGAGTATAATGGTTAGGACACTTTATCCTTATTGGTCCAAAATATCTGATCTTTTTTCTTAAATGGCAAAATTGTTTTTGCTCAGGCAATATTGTATTGTTGTGATATCTCAAGTTTGATTTTACATGTATTCGTCTAATTGTTTCACTTTAGAATGTTTAATTGTGTCATCAAATGTTTTTATATCAAACACTGGAGTACAAATAAAATTAGGCCAAGGTAGGCTAATCTTAAAAAGACGAGAAAGAATTTAGCTTAAGAGATGTTGGGTTTCATGAATGAGAATATATAATAGCTTATAAATTGACCTACAATTGAGAAGTAGGTGATGTTTTAATGTCAAGAGTGATTTTCATGTATTATACTATGTGATATTGAATTGTTGTTTTAGATTGTCTATTTGTCTCTGGAGTGATGTGAATAACCGTGTAAAGGTATTCAACAGTTTAGTATCAAGCCATGAACATTCCTTAGCATGTTGAGTCTATTGTAAGGATCTCTACCCTCCCTTAAATGCATTCTGATCAACTAAATTAGAAAGCGAGGGCTATCGATCAGTAGAGTCCAATTACATTGACCTTAATTTTGATCTGAGCACACTAATTTGATGTGGAATAAATCAGATTCAGGTCCTGTATTTGTACACCACTCAAATGAAAGAAGAGAGGATGTACCTTCATAAAATCCTGACATTGGAACACACTTTCCACAAATAGTTGGAGAGCTCTAAGAACATTCTTACCTTTATGGTGAAAATGGAGTAATTTGTAGTGACCATTTATCTGGCTTCACCACCATTTGTCTCTGGTGTGTAGTGAATAATTGTGTAAAGTTATTCAATAGTTTAGTATCAAGCCATTAAAAATAGCTACTCTAGGGACATTGCTTAGCATCTTGAGACTATTCTTTCTCCATTTCATACCAAGTCTTGAGAATCCAGTTGTGTGCATTTGATCGGAACAAGTAGTGTGCATCGTAGTATTTTTCTTATCTTTTATCTTTATTTAATTTAACTTTTATTTACTCTCCAAGGTTATGGCACCTAGTAAGTAATGGATGCAACTTGTTGATAATCGGCTCGATAAAGCCTACTTAATCGGAGTGCAACAGTTTTTGGATTATGCTTTTCAGAAAACAGGAGAAGAATATGAGATACGATGACCATGTATCAAATGTTGTAATACAACTTTAGGAACTCGTAAGACAGTTGAGACACATTTGCATGTATACGGAATAATTCAAAATTATACTTTTTGGTATCATCACGGAAAAAATTTAGATGAGCCACTGTCACAATCGGAAGACGAAGATGGTGATGAACTAGAAGAATATGAAAGTGAAGATGAAGTACAAGAACTATTGAGAGATATGTATCCTAATATTGATGGAAGAACCGTGCACACTGATTGTGATAATTTAATTGAGGAGGAACCAAATATTGAAGCAAAAAATTTTGAAGGATTTCGAGCAGCCACTGTACCAAAATTCAAAAGCTTCAAAGCTTACCTTTTTGATTAAATTGCTTCACATCAAAAGCATGGGTCGTTGGAGTAATGAGTCATTTACAATGTTATTGAAAATGTTAAAAGAGGAGTTGTTACCTGATGGCGCCAATTTGCCAAAATCATATTATGAGGCAAAGAAGATAATTCAAGACCTTGGCCATTCCTACAACAAAATTGATGCTTGTACTAATGATTGCATGTTATACTGGAAGGAGGATAGCTTACTTGATTCTTGCAAAGTTTGTGGTGCGTCTAGATGGAAAATAGATAGATATAGCGGGGAAACAAGGAATAAAAAAGGTAAGAAGATAGCAGCAAAGACTTTACGCTATTTTCCATTAAAGCCTAGGCTTCAGAGGTTGTTTATGTCTACAAAGACATCTAGTTTAATGACATGGAATGCGGATAAAAGAGTTGATGATGGAATAATGAGGCACCCAGCTGATTCAATGGCGTGGAAGTCGTTTGATGAACTTCATCCTTCATTTGCGGTTGAGCCTCGTAATGTTCGACTTGGACTTGCTAGTGATGGATTTCAGCCATTTCGGAATTCAAAAACCTCATATAGCATTTAGCCTGTGGTTCTTATTCCTTATAATTTACCACCTTGGTTGTGTATGAAACAAGAAAATTTTATTTTGTCAATGCTTATTCCAGGTCCATAGTCTAGGCGATGCTATTGATACATATCTTCAACCTTTAATAGAGGAATTGAAGGAGTTGTGGGAAGTTAGCATCGTGGAATGATATTAAGGAAGAAAAACTGAATCATATGTGGGCAGCTATTGAGGTAAGCAAGATATTTATACAGTGAAGATGCACATCATTTAGTTGAATACATGTGTTCCTATTTGTTCCTTTAGTTGAATAGTTTAAATCAGCAATTAATTTAACTAGACTGCTTGAACGTCATGCGATAATAACTCCTCATTAGAGAATTGGATGCCCAATTTATTTAGAAACACATTGCTTTTTTACCCCTATTTAGAAACAGATTCAGTTGCTTGTCTGTTTTTACCCCTATTTAGAAACACATTGCTTGTCTGTGTAAGAAGTGCATACATAAGGTACAATCACACGCACATTAGCCATGAAAATTGACCACACTGTCCAGAAGTACAAACTGGGCAGCTTCCCTTGCTTGATGTCTTTCTATTTTTGTTCCAGCATATCCTCCAGTTTTATTATTAAGTAGCTCAATGTATCTTGATCAACCTGCTATCCATACTGTATATATGTTTAGTATACACATATGGCAATAGATTTGGCCTCGTAGAATCACACACACATGAAGATATTTACATGATATTTCTGTTGCGTGTGGTGCTTGTCCTCCAAATTTTAGAGGTGATCCTTGCTTGTACCCTTGATATCTCAGCAATACCTATGGATGTGAAGCATACTGATCAACTGACATATATATGTGATTTCTTTTGTGATGAATCTGTGCATAATGTGTATGATGTGGTTATAGATGGTGCACGGGACGTAATCAGATTGTTTGCTATACTTCCATATGAGTTGGCAGACCATATCATTGCCAATATTAAGCCTCCAATGATTAGGGATGATCTTATCGAATGCTGGGATTGCTATGGATGGCTTAATTTTGCAACAGATTGTGATTAAATGCTGGACATGTCCAGTTATACCAAGGTTGAAGCCTATTTTTCCATATGAGTTGGCAGACCATATCATTGCCAATATTAACCCGCCAATGATTAGAAATGAAGAAGGTGATGTGTTATATGCAAGGGGTAAGGAGATTCAGGAGTCTACAAATATTGAGGCAGAAGCAGTAGCTATTCTGGAGGCTTTACGCTATTGTGTTCAACATGGATACAATAACATCTTGGTGCAAACTGACTCTTTGTTAATGAAGAATGTTGTGGAAGGTACATGGACTGCACCTTGGGCAGTAGTTGCACATGTGGAGGAAATTAGGGAGATAATGAGGGGCTGCAATAGTACAATATCCCATATCATGCTCTCATCCTTCATGCTTGTGCTTATCTGTATAATTTTTGGAGAATGTTACTGATTCAACTGTTACTTGCTGTAGAGAAACAGTTCAAACTATATTATATGTTAATTGCTTTATAACTGTTGGAGAGTTGCTCCTATCATATGATTATGAGTAGTTACTAAAATTGAACTAATTCATTAACTCAACCCATGTTTTGATTATTGTAGGATAAATTTGAGAGTGTTGACATGAATGATCATCGTGATCATATCTTCGCATGGATGAAAGAGTTATGGAACAAATGGAGAGGACACTTGCATGCAAAAATATGTGACAGATAAGCCAATCCAACAAGCTCTTAAGAATATTCCAAATGGAGTAGACAAGAAAGAATGAGAGTGGTTAGTAAAGGAATATTTTTCTTCAGAAAGTTTTCAGGTATGCCTAGTGATTTAATAATCTATTTGAGTTATCGAATTATGTGTTTCGATGTGTAGTTTCAGTTTAAGAATCACGACTCATGCACCATAACAGGGGAAATGGAAAAGTTAGATCAACAGAATGAATTCGAACTATGAAACTAAAACAAAGGCAAAAACCAATAGTGAGAAACAAACTAAGATGGTCAAGAGGGAGGATTAAAGGGAAGGTCTATGTTCTGCTCTGTTTTAAGTTCTTATTTCTCTGTTCATCCACGCTTCTGATCTTCTCTTCTTTTTCAGTTCTTATTTCTTTGTTCTTGCTCTGCCCTGTTTTCTCTGTTCACTTGATATCCCTGGAGGCTAATTTTATTCTGAAGCTTTTTAGAAGCAACTTATGTTTAAGTTTATTAAATTTCTTACATTTAATCTTAATGTTTCACAAATATAGGCGAGAAGCAACAGGAATGCGGCAAATCAAGCTAAGTTGAAGATGCTTCATCATATTGGTAGAAAGCCTATTCGTGAGATCATTTATCAAAAGGTATTATCATAAAATTTCTATTTTCCCAAGAAAATATTTACGAGCTATTCTTTGACATGTTTGCCTTTGATGATGTAAAGGGCGGAAAAGATGGCAACCCACCGGATTTGGCAACAATTTTTTTTGAGACCCGTAAGAAAGATAACAAGCTTGATGAACCTGAAGCAATTGAAAAACATGTATGTTTGGAAAATTGAATATGTAAATTACTTGAAATTATGGTGGATTCTGATTTTAAATGTTTTTTTATATATTTTGTAGGCTCAAATCGACGAAATAGTTCAAGCAGATCCATCTCTACCTAGCATAGAGATTGTAGAAAAATGTTGTGGACCTCAAACTCGTAGCCATGTGTTTGGCTTTGGGGGTGGAGTGAAGGCAAAAGACTTGAAAGGTGGAACTTCTTCAAAGGCTGAATTACTGTCTGCACTACGTTCAACTCGAGAAGAAAATAAATCTTTGAATGAGGAAAACAAATCCTTGAATGAGCGCTTGTCTACCTTAAAAGATGTGATGAAAAAAATGAGGAAAATGAGAGAGTACTTTGCTGCTCAACAATCACATGTCCCGCTTACAACGACATCGCCCATTTCAACTGAATGACCTCTGTTTTTGTCTGCTGACCAAGTTAGTAACAATATACCCAACTTTTATTTTTTATTCATGATTTGCTTATAGTCAATTTCTATATTACATATTTGTGCCTCCAGAAAGTTTTGCACATGATGTGCCTCCAAAAAGTTTTCCCTCCTCCTCTGGTACCTTCACAAAGAAAGTTTTGCATACATAGTCACAATTTACCCCTTAACAGAGCGAGCAGTAATATTAGACTGCCGGGAAGATTTCTCTCCAGTTACTGGAGTTTTTGTTCAACGCCCAATTTCCTTAGCTCGATCAGACCTTCCTCAACTAAAAATATAAATAGTGAACTATTAGAAAATGAATCAGTCTTTATATCATGTCCTCTGCGGGTAATCTATCTGTTCTGTTCGCCAGTGAACTATCTGTTCTGTTAGCTAGAAGATGAATCTGCGAGTGGTTGTGTCATCGTATAGTCCCTCAGTGATAGTTTATCTAAGTTTATCTCTTCCAAAGGTTCTGCAAGTTGCTTCCTTTTGTACCTCAGTGATAGTTTATCTAAGTTCAACTCTCCCAAAGGTTCTGGAACTCTTAACTCAACTTTGATGTTGCTTAGTTATCTTAGACTTGATTGGGGCTATAACTGTGACGAGGCACAAGAATTGTCATGCTATACATTCTGGTAAATTGCAGCCCCTATGAACTTGTTATCGCAACTACTGCAGATGCTAATTCTATCAACTCTTGGTAACCCTCGCAGCCCCTATGTCACACTCTCTGTAGAATTGCCTAAGAGAATGTATGTATAGTGTATCTTGGTAACCCTCAAAGCTGCAACTGTAGAAGGTGGATAAATCTTCTCCATTCCGAACTGCAACCGCTTGGTGCTATGATTGCCGGTAATGATAGTCTGATTGATACCATCACCAATCATCATTAAATACTTCTTGTTCTTGGCGATGGAGACATACTCCTCGTATATACCAGCAGTAATGTATATTAGAAAATAGCTTGAAGTGGACATGGAATTGTTTGGAGCAGTAGCAACAGCATCAGTTATGGTGCTGAAATTCCCACTTCCGTCCTGGTTTACTATCACGTCCCTCACCAGAACCTGGTCATCATCATCTTGGTGCTGGAGTAGCTTTCTCCTACTAACAGTCTCCAAAATTGCTTGGTTTTGTGCAGACATTTTTAATGGAAAGTGACCATTTTGGAAGGCTAGCTGTTTTTGGTTTTGTTGCTTAGTTTCTTCTGTGTGCCCTTTGACATTTAAACTGAATGCATAGTCTTTTCAGCTGATAATTCTTCTATTCAAAAGGAACCGGAAAAAAAAGAGAGTAGAAAATGAGAGTTAAAAATGATTTACGTTTTATTCTCTATACAAAGTGTCCAAACAAATAACCTATAAGCAAGAGCGTGCTTCATTTTGCACTGGAACAGAAGCATACTATGTCGTTGTTGGTCTCTTGAATGGTAAATCTCGCATTGTCGTACCGGGATTTATCAAACCAAAGTAAGATTAACCATCCCAAAGCTTTTCTAATTAATTTTTTTTAATATTGTTATAGCCTTGTTGATGTTGCTGATGTTACCTTGTGAATTTAGACTGCTTTTGGGATAAGCGATTTAACTATTGCTCATATAAAATTATATATGTTATTTTACCAATAGTTATTTATTATTTTAAAAACTTTTGTACTTGCAGGTTTTGAAGATTGAAGCTACAAGTCAAGATGCAAGTTTAGAAGATGCACAAGCTATTATTATTTTACTAAAAATGTTATGCAAAACTTGATATCATAGTCTAGCTCAGGATGTTAGCTAAGTTTTTTTTTTGTTGAGGTGTTGAGAAAACATAGAAAGTAACATCATCATGGGATTTGAACTTGATATATTATCTTTTTATATCTGGATTATTCAATACCAATTTGATATTTATTGATAAAAATTACTTTTTGTTGCATTGAGCTTTTAGGATTACTCATGGTTATTAAATATTAATAGATCATGAATATGATCGCTAAATTACAAAATTATTTTAAATAGGGACTTCGTCTCTAAACATAATCTAGAAACAGTATAAGGTTGGTCAGGAAAATGGTTTAGCGACCGGATGTTTTGTCGGTCTCTAATAGATAATTTAGGACCAGTTGGAGTTGGTCGCTAAAACGATTTAACAAAGGGAATATATATATTTTTCATCGCCTATTAGGGACGAGAAATGTAGTCTCTAAAAGTTATTCCCGACCAGGTTTTCTGTTAAAAGACAATTTAGGACCAGATACAGTTGGTCGCTACAAAGATTTCATGACGGGAATAAATATTTTTTCATCGCCTACTAGGGACGAGAAATGTGGTCTCTAAAAGTATTTCACGACCGATTTTTTTGTCCGTCTCTAAAGTGATTTAACGACCAGGTATTAAGACCCGTCGTTATTGACATTTAGCGACGGAGGCTATTACGACGGGTTACGACCATACTTTTCCCTTCGTAATTTACCGTTTTAGGACCATATTTTAACTTTTAGGGACCAGATTTTCCTTCCTTAAAGGCCGTTTTTCTTGTAGTGAATTATTCCAATTGGAGACTCTAACTTTAATAAAATAATCCCGTTTCGATTGTCACTTTAATTGGAAAAAACTCCCCTATTCCCCTTCGGGTGGTAGAAAAAGGAGGTGTGACAGTTCTAGCGACTCTATTGGGGAAAAGAACCCAAAACCTCAGGTTCTGAGTTCAAAATTCGAGCTTAGAATAACTGTTATAGTTGACTTTTATTTATTATCAGATTTTTAAATGTTTGAGCCTAATGTGCTAATGCTTTTTAACGCTTTGATATTGTTTGGACTGTATATAAATTGTTACGAAACTCTCCTCTCTCTGAGTCTTTTAAATCATCTGGGAATGGTGCACTTCGTATGACTTCTCTTCTGTTAGAGTTATATCCNCCTCATGCCAGATCCCTAGTAGGAACGTTTGTTGCATCACGTGCATTTGACTTAGGGGACTCAATATAGGGGTTGGGTCCGTCTATGACAAGTGTACCCAAAAATAAAAGACCATCTTGATGCATCCTATGTGCTACATGTTGCATTTGTTCAAATGGTAAAAGGGTCATTTGGCAGACCAATGATGGCTGAGAGTAAATGAGAAAAAGAGAGGGTGAAGTGTGGAAATAAAGCAAGTGCGGTCAAGTTATGTTTTCTGTCACATTTTTAATAAGAAAAAGATAACAAAAAAATGAAAAATTCAAAAACGTTTTTGCACTTTTTCATCATTTTTCGAAAATAAAAAAATAAAAAAAAAACGAGAAGAAATTCAAAAAGAGTCTACATGTTTCATAATTTTTTTTAAAAAAAAGACAAAAAATATATTTTCTCTAAGTTATTTGTTAATTTTATTTCCCACCCGTATCCAATCTTTCCGAACTACGCATACCTGATTCTCGTCTTTCGGGGTGTGATACGTAGACAACCCATTTAGGGTCCGGTCTTCCTAGTGAATCTTAGGTTCTTGACTTTGCGGGGTCTTAGCCAAATTTGCACTTCTAGCCACCTTTTGGCCACATAAGCCATTTGCAAAATAGCCTCAATCATGTCTTGTATGTGTCAAACAGGAAGTGTTATTGTCTCACATAGTGTTATAGGTCTTTAACTTTATTTGGTCTTAATTTTCTCATACAGGTGTGGGTCTACTTACCGGAGTTTGAGCATGACATACACCCCGGGACCATCCAAGCAGGATCGATCATTCAGGAGTTGCTTAAGGAGATTTTTTTTTTTATGTTTGGAGTTTATTTTTCTTTTTATGTTGTCTTTTACCTTCTAGTTTTGTACAGTAATGTCGAGTCTTTTGTTATTGTACTTTTTTTTTGTAATTGAAAAATGTATTATAAATCAAAAATCCAAAAAAAGAGATTTTGCGTTTTTATATTTCCATTAGAAGTTTCTTTAGAAATACTACTCCTAGAAATTAAAAAAAAAAGAAATCTTGAGGTGGTTTTTCCTGTAGGAAATTAATATATAGAACTCAAAATAAAAAATTGCTTTTATATTTCCTTTAGTATATTAAGACTAAAAATTTAAAAAATAAAAGAATTTTCTTTTAGTACCTCTTTAAAAGTTTTCTTTAAGATGTTAATTCCAAAAATCCAAAAAAGATTTTCTCTTAAGGTTCTCCATTGGCAAATATATAAATATATATACATATATAATATTCTTTTTATGTTCACTAGAACTTTAGGATATTATACATAGACAAAAAAATATACTTTATCTTTTGTTTATCTTTAGAGTTTCTTCCTTAGGTAATCAAAAACTGAAATCCAAAAATATTTTTATGTTGTCCATTTCTCATTTCGAAATCTTTCTTCAGAGATATAAAACGAAGATTCGAAATATTTTTCTTTGGTTTATTCTTTAGATTTCCTTTTTAAAAAAAGAAGAAGAAAAAAAATCAAAAATATTTTTCTTTTCTAGGGCTTTTCCTTAATAATTTCCCATAGATTATTTGTTTCAAAAATAAAAAAGGAGAAAAAAATATACGCTCGTTAAGCTTGAGTTTAGAATAAGTTATAGAACATTAAGTCTTGAAATTTTTTTAAAAAAGGGACTTGCTTCTTTTATTTATCTTTTCTCATGATAGTAGTCATTAAGGTAAAAAAAAAGAAAAAAAAGAATAAGAAAAGAAAAAAAAAGAGAACGTTAGTTTGTTTACTTTATTGGCGATCTTCCCGAACTACGCAAAGATCTGATTTATGCGGCGTCATGATACGTAGACAACCTACATTGGGTTCGATCGAATCATTTTTTATTATTATTAAAAGAAAAAGAAAAAGAAAAAAAAGAAAAAGAAGAGAGAGGTGAAACTATGGGATGTGAGAAATGAGAGGAAAGAAAATAGTGATAATTAGAAGAAAAAAGAGGAAGGAAAATGAGCAAGCCAAGAAGTGCTAGAAAAGAAGGAAAAGAGAAGATTGAAATGAATAAATTGGGATGATTCCAAGTGACCTTGTGGCCCTCGAAGTCATTTTTGAACCGTTAATTGTTGCTAGGTGCATTGCACACAATGTGATATTTGCAGCTGTTAAATGCCCTAACGCTAATGTGGTGACCTCATTTTGTTCGTTTTTATTATCTCCATTGAGCAGAAGAGTGGTTGGTTTGTGGTTCTTAAACTGGTAACTCTTCCATACAACACAAGGTCAAAGAGAAAGGTAGCCATGGCTAGCAAAAACTTGGACTCAAGATTTGTTGACCTATCGATGGAGCCTGTGGAGTCGGGGTCTGAATTGAAAGGGGAGGTCCAAATGTTGAAACAACAGATGACAGAAATGTATCAGTCTTGGATCAGGGGGCATCCTCCACCTTCATTCCCCCTTAACTACACTGAAAACCTGGCAACTATCCCACCACTATCATAAATCCAGATTCCCACTGCTGCTGATATCACCCCACAACCTTTTCACACTCTACCCACCAAAACCACCCCATATCCTGCTCCTTTGTCCACTCATACTCTTCTAGCTCCTTCTCCAGCTACTTTTCCTCGATCCTCTAACGAGTCTGTTTTCAAAGTCCCCGATTCCCAACACTATGCTCCAGAACCAACTTTCAAAGTCTCGGATCCATACTCTCATGCTACTCATTTTGAGCCTCCCGGTGAAGCTGAAAAGCCTGCTAAGACAGTGGAGCAGGATGAGATATCCAGGAAGGTGAAAATATTATAGCAGTCTTTAAGAAACATGCAAGGGATAGGGAGCCACATGAGCGTGGCTTACAAAGATTTGTGCTTGTTTCCTGACATCCAATTACCTGCTGGGTTTAAGATGCCAAAATTTTATTTGTATGACGGACATGGAGATCCCGTGGCCCATTTGAGAGGATACTGCAGTAAGATGAGAGGCTCCAGTGGGAAAGACAAATTGTTGATGGCATATTTCAATCAGAGTCTAAGTGGGGCAACTCTGGATTGGTACACCCGCTAAGACGCTAGCAGGTGGTACACATGGGACGATATGGCTCAGGCCTTTGCCCGGCACTTTCAGTACAATAAAGAAATTTTCCCGAATTGCATGTCCCTCACCAAGATAGAAAAGAAGCCTATTGAAAGCTTTAGTGAATACGGGCTCAGATGGAAAGAGCAAGCTGCCAGAGTCAATCCCCTGATGGACGAAAACGAGATGGTCGAATACTTTCTTCAAGCTCAAGAGCCAACTTACTTTGGGCATTTGATCTCGGCTGTGGGTAGGCCTTTTAATGATGTGGTAAAAATGGGAGAAATGGTAGAAGATGGGCTGAAGTCGAGCAAGATCATGAGCTATTCTTCTTTAAAAGCCACAACACAAGAAATTCAGAACGACACAGGAAGCTTGCTGGCTCAGAAGGAACATGATGATGTTGCCATGGTTGTTTTAGAGTCACGACATGGTCCAAAGGGTCTGCCTCACCAATATACTCAGCCTCAACCCCAACCGCAAACCTATCCCCGAGCTCCGCATAAACCACCTCAGTATTATCCTCTGAACAATGTACGGTCATCTATCCAACCACCGGGTCACTCCTTATGGCGAGCGCCCGCACCGCATAATGCACTCTTCCCTTCATAACATTTTCGAGCACCCAACAAGCCTAGAAAATTGGGGAAGGGAGGAAAAAAGGCAAAGAAATAGTTTCATGCCAATCGGGGAGTCCTACACAAACTGTTTGAAAAGTTAAAACATTCTGCCTGATTGAGCCGCTCCTTGGCTATACTCCAGACCCATATGCAAAAGGTTTTGATCCTATTGTATGGTGCATGTACCACTCTAACATCCAAGGGCATAGCATTGAAGATTGTCGTGCTTTGAAAAGAGAAATAGAAAGAATGATTCAAGAAGGGGTAATTGTGATCAAGGACAGTGACAAGGAGCATGCGAATCCTCTTG